CCGTCTTCACATCGTCGCTGAGGCACACGACACAACAAAGGAAATCACACATCATTACATGTGTGTGATTTCATATGTGTGGTTTTGTGTTTCCTGCCGGTATGCTAGCACACGCGTGTGCAAAGACACACACAGGAGAGAGAACATGTCTTTATCACGCAGGAACGGTTGAAGTCGGCAGTTTGTGTTTGATGTCGCCTCAGAATCAGTTCCATCACCAGAAGCTTATTGAGCTCCACTAACTGAGCTCCCAGTCAGTTTTTTAATTACTGCTCTGACTTGTTGACGTGCGTCGGACACTTGAGAAATTATGTTAATTTACACATTTACTGCTGCGGAGTCGTCTCTGCTGCTGCTGCCGAGGAGGTTCAATCACACACACACACACACACACACACACACACACTGTAATCAATGATTGTTTCTGAACTTGTCGGGAGATTTACACTCGCTGCTTATTCCCAGAAACAAATGAATCAGCATCCTGAAGAAATGAGGATCCACTTTGACTGAAACCATCAGGATGAGTTTTAGAGTTTCTTCACTTTACCTGTTCACCTAGTGGCTTCATCTTCATCATCATCTTCATCATCATCTTCAGATACCGAGTGGTCAACACTGTGACCTCACAGCACGGAGGTCTTGGAACGAACCCCAGTTTGAACGGGACCTGGGTCATTGGGGTTTCCTCAGAATCTCTAAACAAACGTTCACTCGTGTTGAAGCAAACATCTGTGAATCTAGTTCTTATGTTCGTGTGTCGTCCAGTGCTTCAGTTAAAGTTTCACATTAAACTTGTAACCTGTGTTTCTCCAGTTCACACTGACATTTCACCAGTTCAGGTTCAGAACCCCCCCCCCCCCCGGTTTCAGCTGAGTCATATTAATTAATGTCTGTGACACCGACTCCTACGAGCTGAAGATCAGTTTTTCTTCTTGAAAGACTTTGTGGATACACATGAATAAAAATATTGAACTTTTAAATCGCTGCAAATAAAGAAGCTTGAATTTACATAACTGGAGTGAAGCTGTGAAGATGAAGTGGATTAAAAACACGTGGACCGGTGAGAGTCCTCATCTTTCTTTTCTTTCTCCGTCCCTCAGAACTGAGACAGACACAGGGACGTGGATAACGACCTCTGAATCCAGCTGCACCACCACCACCTCCCCTCGCCCCCCTCGCTCCAGGGCTCTCAGAGGACTCCTCGCCGGGTTCTCCAAAGGGTTCTCTGTGGTGATCTGGAACGCTCCATACGCCTCGGGGCATCAGACCTTCATGCGTCTCCCAGCGGCAGAGTCCACCCACACCTCCACCCACCACACCACCACCACCACCACCACGACCATGAGCTGTGAACGGGAGTTTGGAGACGGGGCCATGGGCGTCACGCTCACGCTGCGGCTGCTCATGCACGGGAAGGTGAGTGACAGAGGAGGTCGTGATTTTCAGTTTCTCTTATTGTCAACAACTCTGAGCTTCTTCTGTTTGTGTCTCCGCAGGAAGTAGGAAGCATTATTGGGAAGGTGAGTCACGACCTCTGTGTTTGTACAGAACTGAATTAATTTATCAAACTGCAAAACATCAGCAAACGAAAGTATTCAGTGTATAAAGTGTTACGGAATCATGAATCTTTACATACACAATCATTTCCCAGCATGCAACACTGATCCTCCCTCATCTACAAGCCATGTTTTTTAAAACGCCTCCTCGTTGTGTAATCGTGCTGCACAGATATGAAATGTGCATTAATATAACATTTCCTGTCAGTTCAATCTGAAAACGAGCCAGTTTAACTGTGTTGAATTCAGAAATTCAAACCCGCAGCCCTCACTCACAGTGTGTGGGCTGCTCGCCGCGGTTCTGACATCACCGTGTCCCAGCTGCCGTCGGGTCGTGTCGGTCGGAGGCGGCGGCTCTCTGGGGTTTCTCTCAGCATCAAACGGCTGCCGGAGCAGGACTGATGTTCGCTAAAGCCGCCGTTAAACTCGCTGCTGTGATGCAGGTGTCAGAACGAGATTATCTCCTTCAGCTCAGGCCAAGAAAAAAAAAAACCCCAGAAACAAACGTTACACACGGTTTATTTTTGAATCGTCTTTATTTATTTTCAACATTTTCCTGTCGCGCTCATGTGGGAGCTGCTGGGGGGAGGGGGGACTCAGATGAGTCTGAGGACGAGTCAGGATCCATGTTGATTCATAAACAATCCAGATGTGATTAACGTCTTATTTCAAGTTCTATATATTTAATTTATTTATTTATAACTTTTAAAGTCTGGTGTGTTTTTTAAAACTGCCAATTGACAAGAAGCTCACTCAAACGATTGTGTCTCAAATTTCAATCTTTTGTGTAAAATTTAACACGTCAGGAACATGTCAGGAACATGTCAGGGACACGTCAGGAACACGTCAGGAACACGTCAGGGACACGTCAGGAACA